GGCCCAACACTCGGTCCCATATAATATAGCCGGCCTAACAGCAGTACGGTAGAACTTTCCTTTAAGCTTAAGAGGCACCTTTTTATCACATAGCACCCCGGACGCCCTCCTCCATTTCATCCAACCCGCTTGGATCCTATGATGCACATCGCCTTCCAACTCTGCATCTTGCTGAACAATAGATCCCAAATACTTAAACCTTGGGACTTTTGTTATTGCTTGCTCTCCAATCTTCACCTCCTGAGTTGCCCTTGTGTTCCGCATGCTAAACTTACACTCCATATATTCCGTCTTACTTCGGCTTATCCGCAAGCCATGTTCTTCCAGGGCTTGTCTCCATCTTTCGATCTTCTCATTTATCTCTTCCCTAGAGTCTCCCGTAAGAACAATATCATCGGCAAAAAGCATGCATCGGGGCACTGGCTCTTGGATATGCTCAGTAAGCGCGTCCATAACCAGTGTAAAAAGGTAAGGACTTAAAGTAGACCCCTGATGAAGTCCTATGGTAATAGGAAAATCCTCAGACACCCCACTCTGTGTTCTGACGCTAGTCTTGGCCCCTTCATACATGTCTTTAATCGCCCTGATATAAGCAATACGCACCCCTTTCTTCTCTAGTGCCTCCCACAATACTTGTCGAGGTACTCTATCATAGGCCTTCTCCAGGTCTACAAACACCATGTGTAAATCCTTTTGTTGTGTCCGATATTGCTCCATCAATCGACGTAGTAAAAATATTGCCTCCATAGTTGATCTTCCTGGCATAAAACCAAACTGGTTCTCCGTAACTTGTGTCTCTTGTCTTAATCTTCGCTCAATCACCCTCTCCCAAAGTTTCATAGTATGGCTCATAAGCTTAATCCCTCTATAATTTGCACAATCTTGAATATCCCCCTTGTTCTTATAAATAGGGATTAAGGTACTCCTACGCCATTCTTCCGGCATCTTATTTGATCTCATGATCTCATTAAACAACTTGGTGAGCCAACTTATGCCCTTCGCTCCTAAGGTTTTCCAAACCTCGATCGGGATATTATCCGGTCCCACAGCCTTACCATTTTCCAACCTTTTCAACGCCTCCCTTACCTCAACCTCTCCAATTCGACGACAGTAGGTATAGTTTAGGCCCTCTTCCCGGCGGTCTATCCTATAAGATTGCAAACGGTCCTGATCCTCAGTAAAAAGTGAGTGAAAGTAACTCCTCCATCTTTCCTTGATATCCATATCCGACACCAGTACTCTTCCCTCTCCATCCTTAATGCACTTCACCTGTTCTAGGTCTCTTGTCCTCCTATCCCTGCTTTTAGCAAGCCTATAGATGCTCTGTTCCCCTTCCTTTGTGCCTAACGAAGTGTATAATCCATCATATGCTCTAGCCCTTGCCTCGCTTACCGCTTTCTTTACCTCACGCTTAGCCGCCTTATAATTTTCCCAACTCTCTGCGTTCCTACCTGTGGACCAAATTTTGTAGCAAGTCCTTTTCACCTTAACTTTCTCTTGGACATTTGCCTCCCACCACCATGATTCCTTGCCCCTGGGTCCAAACCCTCTCGATTCCCCCAAGGTCTCCTTTGCAATCCTCCTAATCACTTTGGCCATACCCTCCCACATTTCATTTGCATTGTCCTGCTTATCCCAGCTTCCTTCCTCTAAGGCCTTTCGTAAGAAGCGTCCTTGATCATCCCCCTTTAATTTCCACCACCTGATTCTCGGCACCTTGTCGTGGCCTTTTCTTTCCATCCTTTTCTTAACTCTAACATCCATGACCAACACTCGATGCTGGGTAGTCAGGCTCTCGCTAGGAATGACTTTGCAATCCATGCAAAATTTCCTGTCTGATTTCCTTACAAGAAAGAAATCGATCTGAGAGCATACCATCCCGCTCTTGTACGTGATAAGGTGTTCTTCCCTCTTTTTAAAGCACGTATTGACTATTGTAAGATCAAAAGCCAAGGAGAAATCTAGGATGGTTTTGCCTTCTCTATTTGCTACTCCTAAGCCATGTCCTCCATGGAAACCTTCGTATCCCCTAGAGTCGCCCCCGACATGTCCGTTAAGATCCCCCCCTAAGAAAATCTTCTCTCCCATAGGTATTCCTTGGATAACCCCTTCTAGATCCTCCCAAAATTGCACCTTGTGGTGCTCCTCCGACCCAATTTGAGGCGCATACGCGCTAATGACATTGGTGGTATCCTTCCGTGCGACTAGCTTAAGGGCTATGATCCTATCTCCGACTCTCTTCACCTCCACCACGTCCTTCCTCCACTCCTTGTCCACTATGATGCCAACCCCATTCCTCGCTCTTACCTTCCCGGTGTACCAAAGCTTAAAACCCGAAGAATACAATTCCTTTGCCTTTTCCCCTATCCATTTGGTTTCTTGTAGGCACATAAAGTTGATCCTTCTCCTAATCATCGTGTCTACTATTTCCATAGCCTTACCGGTAAGTGTGCCTACGTTCCATGTTCCTATTCGAATCTTGGTCTCGTGAACTAGCTTCTTTACCCGCACCCGTTCACTAGTATGCGGGAACCCTTGCCTATTTAACACTGCATCCGGGCGGCGATGCAGCGGCCCTTGCACATTTGACACTGTACTCGAGCCATACAGCGCGTTGCTTCCGGGCAACGACCTAGCATTATCCACATAACATCGTTGATCCATATCATAGAGATTCGACGGGGTTTTTTACGCTGGCTTGTCGAATAGCCTAACACAACCTTCACCTTTTATCAACTTTCCTTGCAACTTTGTCTAGTCTTTTTTTTTTTTTCTCTCTTTTTTGCCTAATTTTTGTCGTTTTATGCATTTTGTTTACCTTTTGTTATTTTAAATGCTTTAATTGCTTTGAAACTTCTGAGTTACGATTGTTAAGAGACTCTTCGAAGAAGATCAGGAATCCAATTGAGAGATGGAATTCCATCACAAGTCAATCGTTTATTAAGAATCGATTTAGTAAAAATAAATCAAATCACAATAGTATAAATTTATGTTAGTACAATAACTGTTATGAGTATTTAACATTGAATGTCTATTAGTAGTATTTATATTTTATTTTACTATTAAAATATTTGTAAAGGTAATTTATGTCTATAAATGGATTATTTATTTTCTTTTCTTGTCTTTATTTCTTTACATTAAGAAAAAAGCTATATCATTGTAGGAAAGAAGTCACTTCTCAATCTCTCCCTTATATCTATCTTTTCAATCTTTTGCTTATATATTACTGTTTTTAGTTTTATCTTAATTTTCGTAACAATAAGCACAAAAAAAAAAAAGTATAATTTGAAATCTAATGTTTTGAAACTTCCTATTGCTTTGTGATTTAGCTATACTATCTGCGCTATATATATCTTGTATTGCCTCAATCTTTCATACCTCACAATTAAGAGATAAAACTGTTTCCATTGATTTCATATGAGCAAAAAAATAATGAGTAGTTGTTTTGTGAAACTATTTTATTCACTTGTGCTGCTTTTATCGAATGCTGCAGGATCTATTCTTAGTGCAGAAATAAAGTGCATAGAGAGTGAGAGACAAGCACTCCTCAACTTCAAACAAAGTCTCTTTGATGATTATGGCATCTTGTCTACATGGAGGGACGGCGACAACAATACAGATTGTTGTAAATGGAGAGGCATACAATGCCACAATGAAACTGGTCACATACAGTTACTCGATATTCATGGTGATTATTGGTATGCAGGTGCACAATATTTGCAAGGTTCAATTAATCTCACTTCATTGATTGACTTGCATAATATTCAACATCTGGATCTCAGCAATAATTATTTTCGACGGAGTTACATCGCAGAAGAACTCATTGGCTCCTTCACCAACTTAACATATCTCAATCTCTCATACTCTCTGTTTGGCGGGAGCATTTACAGTATCTGGATCTATGCAACAATTTTCTCAGTGGGGAACTCCCTTCTCAACTTGGAAACCTAACACATTTACAGTATCTGGATCTAAGTCACAATTATTATCTCTATGGGGAACTCCCTTCTCAGCTTGGAAACCTAACATATTTACAGCATCTGGATCTAAGCAATAATGATCTCAATGGAGAAATCCCTTATCAACTTGGAAATATCTCACAGTTGAGGTATCTTGATCTTTCAGGAAATTCATTTTCTGGAGCACTCCCTTTCCAGGTTGGGAATCTTCCTTTCTTACACACTCTTGGACTTGCTGGAAATTTTGATGTCAAATCTAAGGATGTTGAATGGTTCTCTAATCTCTATTCCCTAACAATTCTTCGCTTGGATTATATTCATAATCTTGGCTCCTCTCATCATTCGTTACAAATGATCAACAAGCTTTTTCCAAACTTAAGAGAGTTGAGGCTGGTTCATTGTTCTCTTTTAGATACTGATCTTCAATCTCTGTTTTATTCAGGTTCCAACTTTTCCTCTTCTCTTGCCATCCTTGATCTTTCTTATAATATGCTGACATCCTCATCATTTCAACTGTTGTTAAACATTAGCCTTAATCTTCGGGAGCTTTATCTTTCTGATAATAACATTGTTTTGTTTTCTCATCTTCTTTCTTTCCAAGCTTTCCTTCTCTTGTGATCCTTGACCTTTCTTATAATAATATGACATCATTAGTCTTTCAAGGTAGTTTCAACTTCGGCTCAAAACTTCAAAATCTTAATTTGCAAGATTGTAGTCTTATGGATAGAAGTTTCATTATGTCATCAACTTCCATTATGAATTCTTCATCTTCCCTTCTCTCCCTTGATCTATCCTCCAATTTGTTGAAATCATCAACTATATTCTACGGGCTCTTTAACTCCACCACCAATCTTCGTTCCCTTTACCTTGGAAATAACATGTTAGAAGGTCCCATCCATGATGGATTTGGTAAAGTGATGAACTCTCTTGAAACTCTTGACCTCTCTGGTAATAAATTGCAAGGCAAGATTCCTTCTTTCTTTGGGAACATGTGCAGATTACAGATATTAGACCTCGCTAATAACAAGTTGAATGGCGAAATTTCTAGCTTTGAAAATTCTTCATGGTGCAACCAACACATATTTCAAAGTTTGGATTTATCTTCTAACCAGATTACTGGCGTGTTGCCTAAAAGCATCGGATTGCTATCTGAATTGGAGTTTCTTGATTTGGAGGGAAATTATTTGGAGGGCGAAGTCAATGAATCTCATCTTTCTAATTTTTCCAAATTAGAATACTTATACTTATCAGGGAACTCATTGTCTCTGAAATTTGTTCCTAGTTGGGTTCCCCCTTTCCAATTAAAATACTTGGGACTAAGATCTTGCAAGTCGGGTCCAAGTTTTCCAAGTTGGCTCCAGACTCAACGCTCCTTAACATTTCTGGATATTTCTGATAACGCGATTAATGATTCGACACCAGAATGGTTTTGGGGGAAATTGCAAAGTATGGCAACATTGAATATGTCACACAACAATCTCATAGGTGAAATTCCGAATTTATCACTGAAGCTTCTTAATAGACCATCAATATTTATGGATTCAAATCAAATTGGGGGCAAAGTTCCGTCGTTTATGTTTCAAGCTTCAAAGCTATTTCTTTCTAAAAATAAATTTTCAGATTTCTTTTCATTCTTATGTTACCAAAGCACAACTTCAAACTCAATGACTTTAGATTTGTCAAGCAATCAAATAACGGGAGAACTCCCAAATTGTTGGAAATCAGTAGAGTCATTAGTGGTTCTCGATTTAAGCAACAATAAATTGTCAGGGAAGATTCCTATGTCCATGGGCACCCTCGTTAATTTGAAAGCTTTGGTTTTAGGAAATAATAACTTAACGGGTGAATTGCCTTCTACTCTGAAGAATTGTAGCAATTTAATTATGCTGGATGTGGGTGAAAATATGTTATCTGGTCCAATACCATCATGGATAGGAGAAAGTATGCAGCAATTGATAATCTTGAACATGCGAGGAAATCACTTCTCTGGAAATCTTCCTATTGATTTGTGTTATTTAAAACATATTCAATTGTTGGATCTTTCAAGAAATTACATGTCGGGAGGAATTCCAACATACTTAAAGAATTTTACCGCAATGGCTGAAAAGAGCATCAACAGAAGTGACACTATGCGACGTGTATATAATGGTAGTTTGTATGTAGTTTCTGGTCATTTGAGTTTGGGTTATTATACGTTTGAGATAACATGGATGTGGAAAGGTGTGGAACAGGGGTTCATAAATCCTGAATTGAATCTTAAGAGCATTGATCTCTCATGCAATAATTTAACTGGTGAAATACCAAAAGAGATAGGCTATTTACTTGGGTTAGTTTCTTTGAACTTAGCAAGAAACAATTTGAGTGGAGAAATACCTTCAGAGATTGGGAATTTAAGTTCACTAGATTACCTTGATTTGTCAAGAAATCATTTCAGTGGGAGAATTCCTTCTTCTCTTTCTCAAATTGATGGTCTAGGCAAACTAGACTTGTCCCACAACTCTCTTTCTGGAAGAATCCCAACCGGAAGACATTTTGAAACCTATGATGCCTCTAGTTTTGAAGGAAATGTTGATCTTTGTGGTGAACAAATTAACAAAACTTGTCCTGAAGATGGAGATTGGTCAACAACAGTGAAGCCCAAAGATGAAGCAGTGAAAGGTGAAGATTCTGATTTCCATGAGGCATTATACATGAGCATGGGTGTAGGGTACTTCATTGGATTTTGGGGATTAATTGGGCCAATACTTGTTTGGCGTCCTTGGAGAAATGCATGCAAGCTAAGAATTCGGCCAAGGGAACAAGGCTAGGTGGCCAAGGCTTCAATTTCCATATTTAATCCAATCCAAAAACTTGGAATTGGTTTAGTTAGGTTCACCAAATGGTGGTGAAACCTACCTAAATCAATTCCTTGAAAAATATGGAGAAAAACAAGCCCAGTATGTTAAATTTGGCCTAGGCCAAATTTTGGCCCAATTACTAGTTATACCTACACACTTTACTATTTGTCACCCCACTTCTACTACTAAAAATATAAAAATAAATGACCCTTAATACAAGGTCAAATGGAGTAAAAGTCTCCAAGTAACATACCCTAAAATCTAAAAGGAATATCCTATAAGAAAAGAAAGAAAGTGTCTCACAAATACAAATGCAAAATAAACCTATACAAGTAACTACTATGTACATAATCATATGAAAGGTCTTTAAGATTAACTCATTCCTCTTGGGTCTTTCAATGTATCACCTCTTGATCTTCTTGGCCTTGGCATGATTCCATCATTAGATGAGGAGAGATATTCCTCCATTCATTTCTTCTCCTAAAAATTAAACCAAACAAGAAAGGTCTATTAAAACCTTTCCTTCATTTCTTTTCAATGAGATACCATGTTAATAGTACATGAAAATAATGTATTAGATGTGATGACCTAGGGCATCCCAATTTTCAAAATGGTTATTATTATTATTATTATTATTATTATTATTATTATTATTATTATTATTATTATTATTGCATTAAAACTTTACCTTTACCTTAAGAAAGTTAGTTTCTCACCTCCTTCATGAAATAGTTTCATGAGAAATCTATGCAAAATTAGTTCCTGTAAAAAAGTATTCCCTAAAAATGTTACTTTTTAAATAACAAACTAAGCTCATGAAATTAATATTCTCGACATCAAATTTCCAAAAAAAGTATCAAAAAAAAATTTGTACCAAATTTCCTCTTATAGTTTATTTGGTTTAGCAAAGGAGAAAGGAAAGCAAGGTATGAGAGGAATTAAAAAAAATATTAAGATATTAAGAGGAGGGAAGATGAGATGCAACTTTTTTCTTGGTTCATAAGGGGGAGAGAGAAACTTTAAAAATCAATTTACCTTTATATCATAGTAATTCTAAATTTGAAAACATAAATAAGAATTTTTGATACATTATATTATAAATGTTTTAAAATTCATCTTGTCTCTTTCAAATATCCTCAATATTGGGGGAGAGTTAAAAATAGATGATGGAAATGTCTTGAAGGAGTGATTGATGTTCTCTTCCAAGCTCCATCTTCAACGTCCACTTCTTCTCTTAAGGCTTCAAAATGAGATTCACGGATTGTGTTTCAATCTCCAAAAGCTTGAAGGAAGAAACAATGGAGATTCGATTTCTTCTTGAAGAAGAGGAAGAGATGTGGAACTAAGGCACAAAAGAAGGATTCCTTTGTGAAGGTTCTTAAGGAGAAGGAATTCTCCACGGTTTTGACTCTTGAGAGAGAGAGAATTTTCTGAATTCTAATATCATAAACGTGCAAAAGTGATTACAAAGGTAGAAGAAAAACTTATATAGAGTAGGGAAACTTGTGGTGCAAGCTAGGCTAACTATGATTCAAAAGAATCATGGTTAGCTTAACTTGATCGGCCTAGTTGGTTTAGGAGGCTTGTGAAGCAAGCTTTTAACTTAGAAGCTTGGAAAGCAAGCTAAGTTAGAAGCTTGTAGCACAAGCTTCCCAAGTGTGCAATGCAAGCTAAGAATTCGGCCAAGGGAACAAGGCTAGGTGGCCAAGGCTTCAATTTCCATATTTAATCCAATCCAAAAACTTGGAATTGGTTTAGTTAGGTTCACCAAATGGTGGTGAAACCTACCTAAATCAATTCCTAACTTATCTTTTTAGAATAGTGTACAAGTAACATCGTTTGGCCACACCATTCAGTACGGAAAGCCGATAAGAGTGGTCGAGCGATGTGGCCGAAAGCATGACTCTCGACAATTGATCACACCAGGTAATCGACACCCGATCGGCCAAATCGAAGCCTCAGAGAAATATGTCATTCGTCAGCAATTATCCCTAATCAAGGATTAAAGAGTATATCACTCGGAAAAAGTTAATTAGGGACATATTACCTAATATGGTAATCCTAGTACGGGACCCATGGAAGACAGGGCCCAGTAATGTCACTATAAATAACTTATGTATCGAGGTAATGTCATTGTTCATTAATTACTATTGATATTTGTGCTTGTTTCGATTTGAGCGTCGGAGTGCCTTTTACAAGTACCCTCCCTCTGTTGAAATTTCCGTTGAAGTACTTTTATTTATAATTATAGATTAGGTTACTTCCCTCAACGGACTCAAACACGGCAAGTGTACCGGCCGTACAAGTAGTAAAAATATCGTATCCACAGGGATTAGAAGGTAAACTAAGCATTCATTGGCTACTTGTGACTTAAGAACAATCCCAATAAATATGAATGTGAATTTAAGAACAAAACTACTGGAATTGTTAAAACACAAATAAATGGATTAGAAATGAAATGGGGTGAGAAATGGTAAAATGGACACTTGAAGTTGTGGGGGTTTGATTTCACCAAAGAAACACTAGTGAATCCTATGTCTCTTGTTACATTCATTGTTCAGTCAACCATAAATTTACTCAGACCTAATTCCTTAGAGAAAGAGCCTAGGTGCAAAATATTGAATATCAATCCCTTGAGTACTCAATACCTCCACCTGCATTACCGGTTAGGGTTTTAAGACTACTAATGGGTCAAGCCCTATCCCTAGGTACAATTCCCACTAGGCATATGTTCAAAACTAGTTTCAAGGATATTTTCCAATACTCAATGAAACCTTAAATCATGCAAAGGGTGATCAAGCCAAAGCAAGCATTAAGCATAGAATCATACACAACAAGGAATGAAACAAAACATATATAACATTAAACACAAAAGGATTACAATAGAGTTTGTTGGTTACATCAAAACCCCAATACAATGGATAGAACCTCTCAAAACAAAGAGGGGAAAACTAAAATAGAGATGGAAGAGGAAAGGAAGAACCGAAGGAATGATCCACCGTGGGAGGCTTCCGAAGCCTGAGAATCCCTCCTGCAGAGCTCCTGGAGGCGCCCCTGGGCGAATGAGGGAGAAAACCCTCGAAATTTTCCTTTTATGCAGCCTGAGGAGACAAATTAGGGTTATTGCGCCCGGCGCGTTACACTTCGCGCCCGGCGCGGGCTTCCCCTGATGCTCAATGTGCTCTCGGCCTTGAATTGCGCCCGGCGCAATTCTAAATTGCGCCCGGCGCGAGGTTCCCAAAGGCTGAGAGTACTCTATTTTATGCCCGCCCGGCGAGATTAATACGGCGCCTGGCGCGGTTGCCTGCTCTGCTCCTTAATTCTTTTGATTTCCACTCCTTTAGCCTTGTTATCCTCAATTCTCTACTTGAATACCTGCATATACAAAAGAAACCAAAATGAGAACAATTATATTACAATAGTTCAAAGGGTGCGTGGAATTTGTTCAATAAGTCTCATCAAAAAGGAGGTAAATTTGAGACTTAACACCCTCTCACCGGAATATTCGTTTGGAGCTCTCGTTCGGCCTTCAGAGTACGAGAAGTTTACTAGTGTGCCCTTCAGACAGGTACAAATAGAATCATAAAATAAAGGCTTAAATATTTTTTTAATCCTTAAAATTTGAGGTCATTCTTTTCTTGGTTCCCAAAATTTGAAACTTATCTTTTTAATCCCCAAATTTCATGTTATTTTGGACAACATTAAAAACATGTCTTATGTGACAAATGAAGTATACATCAACAAATGTCATGTGTAATTACTTTGTATAGTTGGAATTTACATTTCTGCTCTTTAATTTAAAGTATTCTTTTTTACAATGAAAAACCCTTGTGGAGGTAACCAAAACCATGAGAGTGCAACCTTTGTATAGTAAATCGAAGCCACCGTAGAGAGAGTGTGAGAGCTTTTTCCATGGCATCTTCTTCTTGTAGTTTCCGTAGATTTGATACATCAATGTCTTCTACAACAATAGCTTCATTGTCATTAAGGAGGAGGTGGAAACTATGTTTGTGTGAGTAAAAAGCTTTGGTTTACATAGCCAATAGTGAAACAAACTGTTGAAGAAGGTTTTGGAGATGTTGTAACATGAATGTATGTATTTTGTTTTTATAATAATGTGATTCTCATTGCTTTTTCTTTTACCTGCTGAAATTTGGACTTTCTACTATTTTATTTTAATTTTTACAACACCCCAACTCATGCAAGTTTTTTAAATGGGTAGATGAGGATTATGAAGAGGATATAGATGATGAGTCTATAGATGGAATTGAATACCAACTTGAAGAGGCACGGAACAAAATTGTGAAGCTACAAAAGAAGCTTACTGATGAGAGAAGGAAGGGATTTATTTTGGTTTGTGTCATAGGACTGTCTTGGACAATGATACTGTTATTGTGTATTTTGTGTGTCTTGAACACAGTAGGATTATGAAGAAAAGATTGCATATTTCAATGTTATTTATGCATTGTGTAATCTTTATTTTGTAATGACAAAGAATTATAGTCTTTATGTTATTGTAATACCCTAATTTTTATAAAATTATATTAATATTATGTAGTATTTATTTTAATATTTTAATATGTTTATTAGAAGAATTTTTAATATTATTTAGCTATTTGATATGAGTTTTATTTTTTATATAAAACATATGTTATTTTTACTAAAAAAGAGAAGTATATTTTATATTATTTATCTATTTTATGTGACCTCTATTTTAATATAAAACATGATTTTTAATTAATATTTGGATTATTTGCTATAAGACTATTTTTATGAAAATATGTTTTTATCAAGAATTATATTTATGATAATTTTTTTAAAAGGAGGAAATTATTTTAATTATTTTATGAGGAGGGAAGGAGGGACGTAGTGGTCTTTTGCTAGATAGTATTATTATTATTATTATCATTATTTATTTTTATTGCTTTTAAGAAAGGAAGTCAGGAGTTGTTTTCATGCTTCTCACTTTC